CTGTTTCTATGGTGCTGGGAATAAAGGCATGAACCACCACTGCCAGGATATGCCATTTTTCTTATTTGAAGCTGGAGGAAATATTTTTTGTTATGACACCTTTGCCAAGAGTGTCACCTAGGCTAAGAGAGTCAAAGTGACGGTGTACAAGATGTCAGGAAGTGAGTCCAAGCCTTGTATCCAAGATTGACTTGTCACTGGGGAAGGTCTGGGTAGTTAGGGAGTCTTCTCTGAGCATTGCCTACCATTTCACTCTACACATGGTTCCTGAGCATGTGAAATGGCCTGTGTGTCAGCAGATCCTGTGACTGCAGGAGATACTGCAACATGACATCATGGCAAGGTGGAGAAGTGACAGAGGCAGTGCAGAGATTGGTCCCAGGAATATTTTATCATGTTCTTTTATCCTCTGTATTAACCACTCCAGCCTTGTTAGTCTTTTTAATGTGCTGTGCTCAAGAGTGTTCCACTCTTTCCCATGCCTGTTCCTGCCAAATCCCTCAGGAAAAAGACGTTACTAGAAGAGATGACACTAGCCATTTAAGGTCAAGTGGTTTTTTGGGGGGGGATCAATTTTTATTAGGGGAAATTTTAAGTTTTTCCTTTCCTTTCTTCTCCCCCCCCCCCCCCCCCCCCCCCCATAGACAGGGTCTCACCATGTGATCGTGGCTAGCATGGAACTTGATATGGAAACCAGGCTAGTATTGAACTTACAGAGATTTACCTGCTGTTGCCTCCTAAATGCTAGGATTAAAGGCTTGCCCTCCCTCACCTGGCCTATAAATTTTAAACTTTGAATGTAGAACTGATAACCAACCAAATAGATTCAATAACTTAGTTTGCTCAGTTCTCCTTTCTGAAGTCTTTCTGAGTAAAATTTAGATATAATGTCTTATACCCTAAAATACTTGAGTATGATTCTTTAGAAAACAAGGGTATTTCCTGTGCAACTGCAACACTGTTATCTTACCTGATAGAAGTTACCTTTTTAAAATCATAGTTCGTGTGTGTGTGTGTGTGTGTGTGTGTGTGTGTGTGTGTGTGTGTGTGTAGGTCAAAGAACAACTTGCAAGAGTGAGTTCTCTGCTTCCACCATGTGGGTCCTGGGATCAAACTCAAGTTGGGTTTGACAGGAAGTACTTCTACTGGCTTCTTCTGCCCCCCCCTCCCGTGCTGCCTCTCTCTCTCTCTCTCTCTCTCTCTCTCTCTCTCTCTCTCTCTCTCTCTCTCTCTCTCTCTTTTTAAGAAAAGCAGGTTTTGGTTGGAATTCCTGGTAACACGAATGAACAGCCCTTCATTGTTTAGTTCCTCATTGCCTTTAAAGGATAAGACAGGCATTGTAGGAAGAGGAAAAACTCAAGGCAGTCCATGGAACGTTCCTGATTGGAGGAGCATTGGCATCTTTAGAATGAAATCACCCCGGTGTTTCTATTCATCTTTATTCACTCTTAAGTCTTTATTCACTCTTGGTGGCCCTTTGACCCCCAGGATAGGAGGGAGGGCAGGAGGAGGAAGACTGTTAGTAGAATTTCTTAGAAAAACTGTCTTGCAGAAGATTGACGTCTACAGCGCTCCTTTCAGACTCTTGTTTGTACATGCATGTTGGAGAAACTGGCAGAAGAAAAGGTTTACTTATGAGTTGCTTTAGGAGATTGATATGTGTGGTTGATAGACTGGAGGACCTTCACTGTCTGATGTCAGGCTGATAGCACTCTGGAGGCTGGCTGCTTCGAGAAATGAGTAGATGTTTGTGGTAAGAGTAATAGCTTTGGCGGCTCACGCCTTTAATCCCAGCACTCGGGAGGCAGAGGCAGGTGGATCTCTGTGAGTTCGAGGCCAGCCTGGTCTACAGAGCCAGTGCCAGGATAGGCTCCAAAGCTACACAGAGAAACCCTGTCTCCAAAAACCAAAAAAAAAAAAAAAAAGAAAAAAAAAAAGAAAAAGAAAAAAAGAGTAATAGCTTTGAAGAGATAAACAGTGTGTGCTTGCTTATGCCTCATCTTTCTGGGTGTTGGGCATTGCTGGTTTTCTCCAGTATAAATTCTTTTTTTTTTTTTTTCCCCAAGACAGGGTTTCTCTGTGTAGCTTTGGAGCCTATCCTGGCACTGGCTCTGTAGACCAGGCTGGCCTCGAACTCACAGAGATCCACCTGCCTCTGCCTCCCGAGTGCTGGGATTAAAGGCATGCGCCACCAACGCCCAACCAGTATAAATTCTTGACTCCTCTTGTGTCTTGTCTTTGAATGCTGTGTGTGTTGGATATGTCTTCTACTTTTGTTGATTAATGTGAACTGAGACTGGAAATAGGTTGGGCCAGTGGGAATTAAGGAGTTGTTCTATAAGACATGTGAGGAAGCTTGAGGAGCCTTAGCTCTAGCAGGGTAGAAGCCAGTTTCATGATGAAGCTGGCACTTTGCAAGGAAGAAGGAAAACACTGGTTCCCAGGGACCTTGTGTGTCTTGCCCAGTGCATGCTGCACAACTTGTAAATCTGAGTTTGTCATGCTTGATGTTTGGCATGTGTTGAGCATCTTGGATGTGTGTGTTCATGTTGTTTACCAGATATATGGTATTGCAGAATATTATTTCTTTTAAAAAGATGTATATGTGTGTGTGTGTGTGTGTGTGTGTGTGTGTGTGTGTGTGTGTGTGTGTGTGTGTGTGTGTCTGAATCCAGAAGGGGCATCTGGCCCCTTGGATTCAGAGTCATGGACATTCGTGAACTGCCTAATGTTGGCACTGGTATCAAACTCTGAGCCTCTTGAACTGCTGAGCCATCTCTCCAACCCCATTATGTCTTCAGTGTTTCTTCTCTAGGGAAAACCATTTAATCCCTCTTGGCCTCAGTTATAACATAGAGTTAATAATGACTGTCTTCATGGTGTTTTGAGGGGCTTAGCTGTTTTATAGCCCTGTCTAGTAACTCTTTCTTTCGTAATATCTTGGCATAGAGGATTGCCTAAGAACATTGATAAGGTTGAAGGAACCGGCTTCCCTTTTGGCAGCCATTACAGCCGAACACGT